CCCAAAATCTGTGGGGTGAATTTTCAGAAGGCCTATTAAAGCATCTTTCACCCCAAGCCCTTTAAAAAAACAAAACAAAAAACAATGTTATCGGTCATATTTTGAAACTGAAAACTATTACTTCCTTATTACACCCTCTCCTCAAAGTGATGTGTCCCAGATCTAGTTTAAAATGCATTATGTCCACTCTCTTATTCTACAATGGTGAACCACCAATGCTTCCTCTTCATCCTGGAAAGAAGTGACAAACGGAGTGCTACAGGGTCCTGGGCCCAGTCTTGTTCAACATTATTAATTACTTAGATGAAGGGTTAGAAGGCATAATCATCAAGTTTGCAGACAACACCAAATTGGGAGGGATAGCCAATACTCCAGAAGATGTTTCCATCAGCGCTGCCTCCGGAAAATCCTGCAAATCTCCTGGGAAGACAAGCGGACAAACGTCAGTGTGCTGGAAGAAGCAAAGACCACCAGCATTGAAGCGATGGTCCTCCAACATCAACTCCGCTGGGCCGGCCACGTTGTCCGGATGCCTGACCACCGTCTCCCAAAGCAGTTGCTCTACTCCGAACTTAAGAACGGAAAACGGAACTTTGGTGGACAGGAAAAGAGATTTAAAGATGGGCTCAAAGCCAACCTTAAAAACTCTGGCATAGACACTGAGAACTGGGAAGCCCTGGCCCTTGAGCGCTCCAGCTGGAGGTCAGCTGTGACCAGCAGTGCTGCAGAATTTGAGGAGGCACGAATGGAGGGCGAAAGGGAGAAGCGTGCCAAGAGGAAGGCGCGTCAAGCCAACCCCGACCGGGACCGCCTTCCACCTGGAAACCAATGCCCTCACTGCGGAAGAAGATGCAGAGCAAGAATAGGGCTCCACAGCCACATACGGACCCACAAGGAAATCCATAATGGAAGACCATCTTACTCGTCCAACGAGGGATCGCCTAAGTAAGTAAGTAAGTACTTGTAAAAAGTTAGAAGTTCAAAAAAACAAAAAAACGATCACAGATTAGAGAGATGGGCCAAAATTAACAAAATGAAGTTAAACAGTGATAAATGCAAGATACTACACTTAGGCAGAAAAAAATGAATTGTAAAGATACAGAATGGGGGAAGCCTGGCTCCAGAGAAGTACATGTGAAAAAGATCTAACATGAGCCAACAATGTGATGTGGCAGCAAAAAAGCCAACAGGATTTTGGCCTACATCAATAGGAGTATAGTCTCTAGGACTCATCCCACCAGGTTTCAGTTATGCCTATTACACCTTTTTAGATAACATTTTGTCCTGGTATTCTCTTAAGGTAAATAAATAAAGCAAGCCTCACACTCATATGCTTCATCCCCCATTCAACTGAGCACATAATAAAAATGAAGAATGCCCCAAACATTTATTGGAGTGCATCATTTTATTTTGTAGGATAAGCACAAAGGTTCCCCTCAATTGTTATGTCTTATCAAAGTCAATTTAGTAGAATCTCAAGGGTCAACATGTCTCCATATAATGTTTTTCAGCCAGGCAATCTGACAGCTTCTTTCACATAAGCAGAAAGCAGATTAACTGTCTGGAACACACAGCTTTCTTCTCAAAAAAAAAAAAAGAAAGAAAGAAAGAAAGAAAGAAAGAAAGAAAGAAAGAAAAGAAAAGAGAAGAGAAGAGAAAAGAAATAAGCAAGTGGTTGCCACTGCCATCTTCTGCAATGTCACCCAGTACTTGCTATTGAGGCAACCCCCTGTGCCTAAGAATGGAACCTGCCCTAACATATATCAGTAAATACGTCTCCATGAGCAAAATCTTCACACTAAAGCTGTTCTCAAGTCTTCTACCTTTTTTTTTTAAAGTCAGCCAAAATTTCCCTCAGAAATGTAGTTAACTGCCATTTTTCAACAAGCCAGTGATTCCTACTAATATTGCCATTTTATAAAGAAAAGTAAATCAAAGTACTTTGCTATTATTATGCTGCATAAGAATAACACAACCATCATAATGTGCAGGTGATTAACAATAATACTCTGAGGTTCTTGCAAGCACTTTAAATTATTGCTTCTTTTCACTATATTCAATCTTTCCCCCTTTAGCCTCCACACTCATGATGGTTGACCTTTAAATTCTATCAAATAATACAAGGAAATGCATAAAGCAAGAGGTGGATAGGAATAAACTTGAAATATCAGTCTTAAAGAGGCATTAGACTCAGTGAGAAAATTGGTACTTTATTCAAACATTGAATGAAAGAAGAACCAACAAACAAATGTTCCAAAGTGTCCCAGAAGTTCTATCAGCAGAAATTAAATGTCACATGCATTCAACTAATTATAAAGGAAGAAATTATCAACATAACTCCTACAGCTTCCTTCTACAGAAGAAGTCAGAGGTGCAACTGAAAGCTTGCATTAAAAAATAAATAAAAAGAACATCTGAAGGAAGTGGGGAGACAGACTGGTACCGTCCTTCTAGCATTGTTGATGTAGCTCCCAGCAGTCCTCACACATGGTTACATGGTTATGGTGGTCAGAACTGCTAGGTGTTGCAGTTTACCAGCATCTGGAGTACTATACAGATCTCACATCTGATCTTGATAATAATAATAATAATAATAATAATAATAATAATAATAATAATAATAATAATTTTTTCTCTGTAACCCGCTTTTCTCCCACAAAGGGACCCAAAGCGGCTTATAACATAGTAAAAACAATACAAGTCCAAAACAATCAGCATATAAATGGTTCTTGCCAGAACAATGTGACTGAGAAGATGGGCATAGCAATCCTGTGCTCGCATTACATTAAGACTGGAAAAATGCAGGATGCTATTACATCCAATATGTATTGAGGACATAGTAGAAAATAGAACATGTAAAAAAATTAAAAGAGAATAAAATTCACACAGTTTTTGAAAACTCCAGAAATGCTCACCAACCAAGAACTGTATCAAAAGGAACCTGTGTATGTAGGGACATGTTCCCAGAGCACTCATGACACCATCACAGCGCTACCAGTGGCACATTCCACAATGACCCTGATTCTACCAGTCTCTATACATTCTTCCAAACAAAACTTCACATTCTCTTATACTCTTCATAACCATCTTTGATGAACAAAATACACACAGCCAAAAAGGAATCCATGCTCCAATACAGTCACCTCAATAGGACTATACACATGGTTCACTCAGCACCCACTCATTGCCTTTTCAAGATAAAACATCTTGTGAGCACTCATCAAGAGAAAGGAGTTGAATCAAAAAGTTCCTGACTCTGGATACACATTTGGTGTTTATAAGGGAATGATAAAGGATGGTGTGGTGCATTTGACTAACAGCCAGTGCTTTTGCTTCATTGGGGGTAGGTGTAAGTAGAAACATCAGTGAATGTGAGCACTACACCTCAGGGGTTCAGGTAAATTTTTATGTAATTACTATTTGGCAAAGGTTTCTCTAGGTGGGCATATACACACATTGGACTATAACACTGGTCAACACACATTTTGGTGTCTCAAACATTAGCCCTGTTTCTAGGTATATCTGACCTGCTGATTCCAAAAATGGCACAAGTTTTTCCCTATCACCTCTAGTATTTGAGATACAGAACATATGCCATATACCAATCATTTGTTTGCCCGTAGAAAATCATGATATCTAAGAAAGTAAAATTGATCTATCCAATGCAGTTTTCTGAATCAGCACCCCAAATAATCCCAGGAGAAGGCCTAAAAAGCAAGACACCAATATTTTTTTTTGTTGGACTGCGTTACTGCCCAGACAGCTGTCCTTTACATTTTTCTATGAAAATTGTGAGATTGTGATCTTTCTCAAAAGGGCAAGCAAGCTTTAAATATGTACACAGATAAGACAGTGGTGAAATTACAATATTTCACCACATAATCATCACATTTTTCCTTTTTTGTAGTGATGTGTTTTAATGCTGCTAAATGTTTATACTGTTTTATATATGCTGTATATTTTGACAGGCATCGAATTTGTGCCTTTGTTTGTAAGCCGCCCTGAGTCCCCCCTAGGGGGTGAGAAGGGCGGGGTATAAGTAACTGCAATAAATAAATTAAATAAATAAATAAATAAATTTTTTCTGCTTCAAAAAGGGGTGTGTGACTATTACATGGTGAAACTTTTGAGTATTATGGGATGTCCTCCAGCTGGCAGCCAAAAAAGGCCCCACAGCCTTGCTTGCCCATGCGCGCCTGCCAGCCAGAGCTAAGAGGCCTCCCTCAGTTAGTGGCAGCCGAGGGAAGCCTCTTAGCTTTCAAACCTTCATCTGCCCAAGCGCCTATGGTTTGAGCCACAAGTCTGCTATCATGGGGCAGGCACATGGGCAACGATGCAACTATTATGCAAAGAATTCTTAAAGACCCTAGCCAGGACCTCAAAAAGGAAAGTGCAGCTATGATGCAATGGCGACTATTATGCATTTAAATTCGGTATCTTCTAGGGACAACTATCAGACAGATAATGTTATTGTATTATGCAACAAACAAATACATCTAACAGGAGTACTAACAATTTTGCCTTTGTCTGTATGGTTAATTCACATAAACCTATATATATTCATTATTTATGAAACATTTCCAATATATAAATTGTAAAGACAGGAAAGTGAGGTTCACCTGAACAAACTATATATTGTTTTATTATCTTTCTTACTGAAAGGCTTATTCACTGCTATTAAAATTAATGAGAGCTTTCTCATTAGCATGACTAAGCTATGAAAATCAATAATTATTTTAAAGTGAAGACAAAAGAAAGCATTCAAAATAAGCATATTATTATTATTATATTTATATTTATTTATTTATACCCCACTTTATCTCTCCTGAAGGAGATTCAAAGCAGCTTAACATAAAAGCATTAGCATACAATTTAAAATATTCAAATATGTAAAGATTAAAACATAATTAAATGTAAACAGTATTTAAAAATTCACAGTTAAAATCCATTAAAACATATTCAAAGTTAATAACCAAAATTAAAAACCATATTACACTTACTCGAACTTTTGGCAAGACTCTTCTTAGTGTCTCTGTAGGATTCTGTCGCATCAGCACTGGAAGACTTGCAACCACACTTGTTCCTTGGATATCCTGACCAGAACTTGTTTTTTAAAAAATGAAATATTTTGTAATGAGATCTATTTCAACAATGATATTAAACACAACTATATATAAACCTTTTTCTTACATAATTAAAATATAGAAATCATGCAACATAATATTTTATAATTATACAAAAAACATTGCCACAGAAATAATTATTAATTACACATACAGTTTTGGTTCTAATGGAATGTTTTAAATATGTTCAACATATTTCAAGGCCTCCTTGCAATTAATTTCTCAGTTTAGAAACAATATTCAGCTACAACAGGAAACTTCCAGTCTTTTAATAATGTAGATTTATTCTCACAGTGTCAGTACATCATTATTTTCAGACCATTGTTTTACTAAACTATGTGTTTTTAAATTACATGCAGCAAAATAATGTTTTACATCATGAATCAAGCAACTTCTAATTTGAATGGGCTTTGAAACAAAATGTCTAAACAACAAGCATTCTGAGAACTGGTCACTGTAATCTGTAAATAAAGAATTACAAAGAAGTTATCACACATAAGACAACACTCAATCTTTAAAGTCAAACGAACTGATCCATGCTTTGGAAATAAGATAGGTGTTTTTCATTAATCACCTATGTCAGCTAGTAACTTGCCAAATGCTTTCCAAATACTTTATAAGACAATATTTTAAGATAAATAGCACTATAATGTGAAGAAACCTATACTATCATACAGCTATTGGAGAAAGACATTAAAATTGTTCTTGGCATGTTCAACTGCACATGACAAGAGGAAGGTTCCATAATGCAATGGAGTTGTAGTCCTGATGAATGAACTTAAACCATTTTTCAAAGCCATCTAAGACAATAGCCATCCCCACTTCGTATAGCTGTGAATTCCACACCTTAAACTATTACACATGTGTAATCAGTGGGGAAAAAGTTTCAATACTCATTACTATACTGGAGGGGGGTGGCAAATCGTTTTTAAAGTGTTTCTAAAATATCATAAGGGATCTGTATTATAACTATAACAACATAATAAAATTTTAGTTACCTTCTTGTTATGTAATTGTGCAAGTGAGGAACCTTCCGGGGCTCCTTTCTTCCTCATTTTTAGAGCTATCGGGATAAAACTTGCTACAGTGGTAAAACACATTTACCACTGTTAACCCTCACCCCAAGTTTCAGAACATTTCACACATCCACTGATTTTGGGAATTTTTTTAAAAAGTTTGAATTCACTACAAGAACTATCTCTTTGAATTTCTACTTTCAATGATACAACATAACAAGGGCATCATTCTCCGCCCCCAAGATTCAGATAGATTTGCACATCCACTATTTTTTAGGGAATTTTAACCAACATAAACTTAACAGTACTATTTCACTGGAAACCTCCAGGGACTATCCAGTCCAACCCACTTCTGTCAGACAGGAAAAGTATAGTCAGAGCACCCCCAGCAGATGCCATCCAGCCTTTGAAATAATAATAATAATAATAATAATAATAATAATAATAATAATAGGAAACCTACTAGGTAAACATTGGAGTTACTGCCTCTCAACTTTGCCTACCTCACAATGTTGATTCAACTTCCAACAATCCCCTTTTGTCTCAAAACCCATTAAGAGCATGAACATAGGTTTTCCCCCACCAAAACTTTCAAAGAGCAGGAGGAAGTGAAGGCACAAGATGGTAAGTAGAATTCTGAGAAATGTAGTTTGGGAAGGCAAAGATCCCTGTGCCAAAGAATTCAAAAGGCTATGCCATAAACTACATTTCTCAGAATTCTGTTCAATGTGAGTGTGGTCTCTGCCTGTGTCTTTCTGTGCTGGCCATGTGCCGGAGGGACGTCTCCCTTGCCCAGCCATCCAGCCAGGCATCCCTCCTTTCTGCCCCAGGCCCTCCCACCATCCTCTTGGGAGAAAGAGTGGAGCTTCCTCCTCCACTCCGGCCTCACAGCGGTTTTGGGGGAGAAACTGCACCCATGACATAGACCTGGAGACATTTATGAGATTTATATAACTCATCTGAAAGTCATAGGTCGGTGTTTTGAATCTTAAGGTTTTTGTGTGGGTGCCCCTTGCATTTCTTAATATTGAGTTGTATGTACTAATCTTACAAAATAGATATGACAAATGAAGCACAAACAAAATTTCGCACAGCCCTATTAATTATGTAATAATAATAATAATAATAATAATAATAATAATAATGTTTTATTTATATCCCGCCCCCTTCTCCCCAAGGGGACTCGGGGTGGCTTACAACAAGGAGGAACAATAAAATAGTAGTAATCATATAACAAATCCAGAAAATCCAATCAATACAGCAAATCAAAGGAACAAATCATGATGCATAAAGAAAAGTATATCACAATGAACCTGTTAAGTATAACTCAAAAACATGAAAGAAAGCATCACTCATAAATATAAAACTATGTAATAATTAAACATGTAGTACACCAAAAACCTCACAATATCTACTCGTGTTGATAAAAACAATAAGATCCAATTAACATTAATCTCATTTTAAAAACCTCCATCACTTAGATTATAGTTAGCCATTTTCAAAAGGCTGCTTCCAAAGCTATATTTTTAGTTGCTTCCTAAAGGTCATTAATATGGGAGCAAGCCTAATTTTCTTAGGGAGGGCGTTCCGGAGTGGGGGAACCACACCTGAGAAGGCCCTTTCCCTCGCCCCCACCAACTGCGCTTATGATGGAGGGGGGACCATAAGAAGGGCCTCCCCGGCAGATCTCAGGTCCTGAGTATGTTCATAGAGGTAGACACAGTCATGCAAATAGATTGGACCCAAACCGTGTAGGAATTTGTAGGTAGTAACCTGCACTTTGAATTGGGCCTGGATACACATAAGCAGCCAATGGAGCGGTTTTAATGGGGAGGGGGTAGTATGCTCCCTGTAATCAGTTCTTGTTAATAATCTGGTCATTGCTCTTTGCACTAACTGTGGTTTTCTAGCAACAAGATGTAAACAAGGAGTAGACCACCGTGGCCAGATTGGCTTTTCGAGGTACGGGCGCAGCTTGAGCACAAGCTTTAATTTTTCAAAGGCTCTCTATCTCCACTAATACCTAAATTAAAAAACCAACATGTTTCCAGCTACATGAGTGGGCCCAGATACACCCGACAGGGTGGTTTTGGCGTGGAGGCTGAAGTCCCCCAGTACAATTAGCCACCTGGACTCCAACACCAGGCTTGAGACTACCCCAGCTAGCTCAGGCAGGGAGACTGTTGTGCACTGAGGTGGACCGTGCACTATATAGCAGGAGAAGCACTTCTTGTCAAGTGAAAATTGCTCCCATTGATGTAACTTTCAACAGTTGCAACCATTAGACTTCAAACACAGTACTATGGTAAACTCGGAGCTAGCTTAGAACCCAGTAACTAAAAATTCATTCTGTTCCCTTGGGAGGGACACAGTTTGGGACCCTGATTTATCAACCTGAAGCTGTCATAAATGTCATTAATTTCCCTCAATTTCTTTCGTAGAATAAGGTCTATTTCCTACAGGTACTGTATACTTCAGTTGACAAAGTATTTGTGATCCTGGAAATGCCTTCTTTAACAAAAATTGGTAAAAATGATGTTTAATAACAGGTACCAGAGGCAGACAAGTACAGAAAGAATAGGAATAGGTTCCTAGACCATAAACAAAGAAAAAGAGCAGTTTAACATATTTAGCAAACGTTTTATTGAAAACTAATAATATGCATATGTGAAATGGAACAAGAAAGCCAAATCATTTTTTCATTAGTGACCAAAACCTTCATGAAACCTTCCAAAATGCATCCAGACATTTTTTTTCCAAACAAGCTCAATAAGGAATAATTGAGTTGGAAGAGGTCACAAGGGCTATCCAGTACAAACCATTTTACCTAGGTGAAATCTCTTTTCAATTGGTCTTCTGTGAGTTCACACATATTGGTGCCTGCACTGAGCCTGTCAAATACTTCCAGAGCCAAGTATAGCAATTTTTGGTAATAGCTCCACCCCCTCTGTGTTGTGTATGCTCCCCATTATTTTTCTCTCAGTTTCTGTATATTGCAGGGCACAGGGAGAGGTAACATAAAAGATAAAGCACTGACAACCACAGTAGATAGATGAGTGGGCTGTGTGTGTTACAGATAGCAAAGTCCACTATCCCAAAGTTTGCATTCTCATGAGCTCTGACGTCTAGACTACAGTATTCAATAGAAGTCAACGTTTCTGAAAATGTTGCAGCTTTATAAATGTGTAGCAGAGGCACATTACCAGGATAACTGTAAAATATGGCAGCCCTAGTGCATTACATGCATGTCATGCAGTGGTTTCTGATTGTAGGAGGCAAAAGCTTTGGGACTGATCCATAACAAAAGGATATTACTGAAGATACCCATGTAGAATCCCCATAGCACATAAAAACAGTCTATTAATTGACTGAAGACATATGGCTCAATCTATGTAAAAGGTCAAATCCCTCCAAATATCTATAGAGTGCCATATTCAGATGGTAGGATTCTGAAAAAACACTGGAAGTGTGACATCCTGGGACAAATGAAATTGTGACACTGTCTCTAGGAGGAAAGTGATATCTAGGCAGTGTACCACCTTGTCTTCATGAAAAATGAGGAAAGGAGGAACATAGTGGAAAGCTGCTAGTTCATTCATCTATTAGCAGACATGATTGCCACCAGAAAGGTATTCTTAAGCATCAGGAGATACATTAGGAGTCATGGGAAGCCTTGGACGCGCCAGGAGATTGGGGGGACAAGAGCAAAATCACTCCCCCCTCCCCATCTCCTGGCACATCATTTCTACGCACTGGGAGGACTCACGGAGCAACTTAATGGCAGTCTGGTAAGTTTTTTTTATTTATTTAAGGCTTTGGAGATGGGGGTTGGGATAGCTAGACCCTCTCCCCCCAAAACTGGGAAAATAATAATAATACTTTATTTATATTCCGCCCTTCTCACCCATGGAAGGTTGGGCTCACGTCCAGCGGGTGCTGTTGCTCCATCCTCTTATGACGAAGA